TAATAAAGTTTCACTCTTTAATGTAAGCATAATTCATCAATGCATTTCGATCTTTTCGTTCTCAGGTGTCTCATTTAAAGTATAAGTTCCATCTCACAAAAGCCATTAGATTTTCTATATAGCCAGAATCAAACTTGAAATATCAACAGGAACTAAGAAAGAAGAAAATGAAGTTGGAAACAGATTACGTCTTCGTGGCAATATGGATACATAAAGTGGATGAATTATAGAGTTGTCCTGTAATTTCTGAATGAAAATATAATGAGCTTAAATGAATTAAACAAGGTGCGCACGAAAGCAGAGAGGTTATATGTAAGGCTCACCTGGCTAGTCTTGTCATCATTCTCAGCTGCTTCCAAACAATCCATCCTGACAGAAATAATGAGATAAGATTTAGTCACGTTTAGAGCCAAGTTTAACACAGAATGCGTCTGGAGGCTTGTTGAGCAGTGCGAAAGTAGTTATCAGTTTTGGAGTGATAAACCACATTGAGAATCATCCATTTAACTATTTCAGAACCAACTCCCACATGTTTTATAGTTCTCACATAAGACAGAAAGTGGCCAGAGAAAGTACAGTACATGTTCAGCCTAAATGCTAAATTCAATTCTTGGATTATAGAAATACCTTTCCAGCTGCTCTTGAAGATCTCTGCATCTCTGGAGCGCCTCCTGGTGACACCTTCTCTCTTCTTGTAGCTCACTTTCCAAACTTTCTATCTTTTCTTGAAGGACACCTACTTCACTCTTCAATTCATCTGTCCGTGTTTCAAGTGATTTGTACGACTCGGCCATGCATTTGAGCTGTGTCTCAGCCAAGCTGTTGGACTTCTCGGCCAAAGTCAACTGTGACCTCACCTCACCCAAAATCCGTTCAGTTTCTAGTAATTGGGACTTTGTATTCTCAAAATTCTCCATGCATCTAGCAAGGTCATCCACCAAGTTATCCTTGTCCGCCTTCAACTGTTCAAACTCCTCCAAAGAACACTTCCACGGGGCAGCCGTTGACTCAGAGGTCGGGACAAGATTTCCGTTATTAGGCACATCAGGATCAGATGCGGAATCCGAAAAACGGGCACAGCCATTTGCAGAATATCGCTCTTCTAGTGAATTCAAATCAGGCTTATTCTCTGGGAGTGCAATCTTGTCTATACAGTCAGAGCTGCCGGTTTCTACTTCAGAGCCTTTGAATCCCAAGACATTGAAATGCAGCTCGCTTGCCTTGTTCAGCACACTAGATATGTCCAGAACAAAATCGATTGGATTAACGTTGCCATATAGAACCTCACTGTACTTGGCAGACAACGTGTCGAGTTGTTCGTGCAGTCCTTCCCCTTCAGTAGCTGTTCCCGGTATGTTAGCTTTAGTCTCTTTCCCAAGAATCATTATGAAGTCGTAAATCTGAGCGATGGCAGTTTGTAAATCTTGACCGTTGGTCTCGATATCTTTGGTACACGAGTTAATTTTACCAGAACAAACTGTCTGGAGCTGTAAAGTTTCCTGCATATCTTGCATGACACGTCTAATGTCCTCCGCAACTTTTTCCATGTCTTTCTCACCAGATGTCAACTCAAGCACCGTCGATATCTTCAATTGCAGTTCAGCAAATACGTGTGGATCTGGTCGCAGTTGAGGGGATTCTTCAGAGTCATTAATCGCAACCTCAACCAGAGCTTCATTTTTCAACAGCTCGCGCCCACTTTTGCCAGTATTATCTGACAACTCCACATTCAAAGCTTCCCCATTCGATCCGTTTGACAAATAAGCCAACTTCTCCATCTCCAGAAAGTCATCCATCAGGTCCAGATGATTACTCGCATTTTCAGACTTCTGTGGGCTATCCACATTCTTTTCTTTCTTCAAATGCGAGACCTCAGACATAGTCCACGATCCGGAACAACTCATGCTATCGTCATTCCCATCCTCGGACAGGGAAGCATAACTCGACGGCTTACCGCCTTTCGCAATACTCTTCGGCTCGCCATTCGCCTGCATATGAGCTTCGAGACTCTGAAGCCTGCTGATCGTCTGCGCGTACACGCTTCTAGAAGCCTGCAGCTCGCTGTTACGTTTTGCAAGCGCCTCCTTAAGCATCTTCATCTCCTCCTCCATAGCCAGCAAGCGTTCGGTCAGCAGCTCGTTCTCCTTAATATACTTTTGAGAGCCGTCGAGCGAGAACTCGGGAAATTGGGGAGAGTGCGGACTGGGAGGCTTGACCGGGGACCGTCTCAATCGAGGCTCCCCGTAGTCCCGGCCCAGGCTCTCGACCTCGAGCTTCATCTGGGCCAAGGCAGCAGGTCCCGGAAGCTTCTTCCGGACAAGGCCCCGCAGCCGCTGGCACTCGGCCTCGAGCTTCGCAATCTTCTTTGCCCCCTCGAGGTGCTGCCTGTTCGCCACCTCAGCAGACCGCACACTCATGTTCCTCTCCTCGTTCCGAATCTCAACCTCCTTCCGGGCAATATGGAGCTCGTATTTCAGCGAACTCACTTCCTTCTCCCACGACTCGATGTTGGTCTTGAGGATCTCGATCTCGGCTTTTGCTTGAGATTTCTCTTCGGTGAGCTGGACCAGCATGTTCGAGCGTTCTTGGAGGGATCGGGAAAGGGCCGCGTTCTCGGCGGCTGACCGCATAAGGTCTTGGTCCAGGTCGGCAATTTGGGATTCAAGGTCGAGCTTCATCTTGTCGAAAAGCTTCTGCTTGCTCAGGATGACCTCGTGTAGCTTCTGCTCGTGGTCTTCCTTCAAATTACGTATCTGGCGCATGCATTCCTTGAGGGCCCCGTCCAGGTGGGATGCACGGTCCTCGGCTGTGAGCTTCAGCAGGGTGACCGACTCGAGGTGGTTTTTCAGGGCTGCGGCTTCAGCTTCTGCCTTTTCCCAACCTGTGATCAGACCGAAAAAG